TTCCTGTAGTAATTAAGAAAAAGAAATTAAAAATCCATCACCCTGACAACAGACTCCAGAAGTACGCATTTTCTACATGATTATACACAATGTACTGGCATCAGACATGTATTTGTTTTCCTGTCACAACACGCCTCATTACTCATATTGTGCTTGTTGTGCGTTTGCATGTTTCACCTGAGACCATTTTACTATGGTTATGCTTCATCTCTGATTTATCATCATTTATCACCATTTCACAACCAATTTCCTCATCACAATCAAAGACCTAATTAAAACTGAACCACTCATACTAAAGCCTAAATAGTTACCTATATTCTATTTAATAACAGGTCTGGTTTAGAGCTGCTTTGATCAGTCGTTTGAAAGAAAACTAATCTGCAACTAGCTTCTCAAATGTGACAAGTTACTGTTTCTGTTTTGTTGTCTATGACAGCAAATTGAATATTTTTAGTCAGATGAAACCTGCACCTTCAGCTTGTGACTGCCATTTTCACATTTTTTTTAATAACTGGCAAATAACTAATGTAAATAGTCTCAGCCCTTGTCTGGGTACAATGTGTTATACCTGACTTTTTTTATGTTGTCACACCACAGACTACCTTTAGTAGGATTCACAGTCACGTCAGCGTTGGCCTCCTCTGCTTCTGTTGTGACACCACACACCGACTGCTCCATTTTCTCCTCTGTCCCTCCTCCTGGCTGCGGTTCCAGAGGGGAGGATCCTGTTGTTCGTGGCTCAGCTGCTGCACCTGGTGCAACTGGTCTTGGTCCTGCCGCGTGAACAACAGCAGCAGCAGCAGCAGTAGTAGTAGTTTGCTCCATTTGGGGCAAAGACGCCTTCGTAGAGAACCAATGTCGCACCAAGTCTGCTGTTAAACCACTAGCCTCGGCCAGTTCCTGCAACTGTGCATAAAGAATAACCAGTGTTAGCTCCATGTTAAAAGACAGGCATTGCAGAGTCATTAAAGCGAGTGTATGTAAGTAAAGAGTAGCCACTGTGACCATCAGCAACAACAGGATAATGGTAAAAACAAAGTGTAACAATAAAAATTAGAGAAGAATGTGTTATTTTATCTTTCAAAAGTTCTATAAAAAAGTGTAGATGTAGACATTAAGATAATAATGCATTCAAATAAATTTAGAAAACTGCACACTGCAAACTGACAATAGCACCCACAATAGCTATAGCTGTTTTATGTGCACTATAGCAACAGCACTCTACTGCTGGTATCTCATATAGTCACTATGATGGATGTAAATATTTACACCTTTCTATAACACCATATCCAGCGCAATGGTATAATAAAAGAATACACAGTTCAAAGAGTACGAACAGTGCACATATTGCAGTTTTTTTTTTTTTTAAACAACTTGGTAATAATCTCATTATCCAAACCCAAAGACACTTGGAGGCATTCAGCAAAGTCATTAAAAGGATGGTAATGTTGATACTAATAACATCGAATCAACAAACACGTTTATAAGGAATGAGAGAAAATCTATTTACAGTCAGATAAAAGAATAATCTGCCCACTACATTGAGTGACCATGCTTTATTTTGTGTATTTAGTACCTCTTTCTACTTTGATTCTTCACATTTTATATAGTAAATGCTCATAATCTGTGACTTTGGTTTACTTATCTATACCACTCATAGTACATTTCATCACGTATGTCTTCTTTGCTGTGTAACTTTAATTTAGCCAGTGTGGGATCAATTATGTCTTATCTTATCTAGGTACTGTACAAATACAGTAGAATATAAATGAACTTCAAAAGATGCCCCAGTGAAAAGAAATGTGAAGACAACTAAAAGCTCCTTATTCCATTTTTTTTTTCCTGTGCTTCTGTAAACACAAAACAACAGTTCCACATAGAGCACAAAATTAATGGAAGAGTAGCTGTATTAGGTTTTGAGCTCAGTACCTCTCCGCAGGAAGCATATCAGAAGCTTAAATAGTGAAAATAGTTTTGTTTTTTTTTTAAAGTCACACTCAACAAACAATGCAGCTCTTTTGAGTCAAGAGCCACAACAATGGCAAACAGGAAAGTTAAAGAGTACAATTCTTAATTTTAAAAATTCTGATGAAGATCTGAAGTATTTTCCATCCAAGCAGCTTTCTGACGCAGCACACAATCCTCTAAGCAATTATTGTGAGGGAAATATACAAAGGTGTATATAGCTTAAACCCAGCACATAGATGAAATATTTTATTATAAATTGTGGGTCTTGAAAAAATTACGCTCCTTCTTTGTTTTAAATTGAGAAAATCAGTCACATAAAAAAAATGATTTACTAAGCTGAACATGCTGTTGCCACACATACAATTAGGAAGTGAAATTCAATGTGGGTCAAATGTGTGAAATTTTATTGGCGTGGCTACGCAGAAATTCAGATGTGAGCCCCCCAAATATCTTGTGTGTAACAAACAAACACAAAAATAACTGCACTGGTTTCGAGGCTGTTAAAAATGTGCACCTCTCAAATCCAGTGTGAACTGACAGTGTCAGTGTGAACAAGAGACACTTCCTGGAGCAACATATTTCAGGGATGTGAATACATTTTCTCCCACAGAGCCGTTAGCTAAAGTGAGTGTTATAACTCATAAAATATATCCTAGCAACACAAATGTATCATCTGCCTCTAAGGTTTTAGTTGTTCAGAGCCACTGAACTGCTCTAAGTTGTTGTCATAAATACCTGCGACTCCTCCAGCCTGCCGTGGATGTCGAGGTGGTCCTGCAGGATCTGTTTGTTCCCCTTCTGGAGGTCCTCTTCCAGAGCCTCGTTCTGGTACGCCTCCAGCCACTTCAGCTGGCCGTTCTTCTGCACGTACCGGCTGTCCCCAAACCAGCGCACTACCTCAGGTCTGGGAAGTCCAGTAGCTGAGATCAGTTCATCGTACTGAGTGGCGCTGGGCCACTGGGTACGGGCGTAGGCTTGTTTGAGCAACTGAAGCTGCTCCGCTGTCTTCTTACCTCGTATGGCAGTGGGTTTGGGGGAGTGGGATGGTTTGGGTGTCGGGGTGGAGGATTGGGATGGTTTAGGGGTGGGGCCTGTGGAGGATACAGGTGTGCCGCTGCTATGGTGCGTGGGGCTATCCAAGCCTTCACCTTCTGCTTTGCCATTGGCCTCTGTCACCTTCAGCATCTTCAGATTTATTTTAATAGGGTTGACTTTCAGTTCTCCTGAGCTGTCTTCTTTCTGTCTCTCCTCCCCATCAACTTCCATATCCTCCTCCTCCTCTCTCAACACCCGCTCTGCCTCCTCTTTCTTCTTCTTCTCCGCTGCCGCTCTCTTCCTCCTGTCGGCGAACCAGCCGTGGATCTCCCTTCTGGTCATCTTGGTCTCAGATCGCAGTCTGTCCACTTCCTCTCCTGATGGATCAGGGTCCTGGGCGAAACTGGCCTCGAGAGCTTTCACCTAAACATCATACAGGAATGGACAAGGTCAAAAACCTGGAAGAACTGATCAAGTTAATTAAATCAGCAATAATTTTGATTTTCATTATTCATTTGTGTCATTTATCAAGCTCAAATGCCAAAGAGACTCTGTTTCCAGCTTCTCCAATGTGAGGATTTGCTGCTTTTTTTCCAACGCTGAATGAATCACATTTGGCACAGCTCTTAAAAGGCTTTATGCAACTTTTTTCACATAATGCATTTGTAGGCTTTAATGTGTTCAAACTAGTGGAATTCACCTTTGATTGAACATAACTGGCCTATTAAATCAATAATAAAAGCAATCCTAAGCCTCAGCTTTATAACTGAGTAATGTAACCTGAATAACCTACTCACCTAGCTTGTTACACACCAAGGACAGAGTCTTACCTGATGAGGTTCTCTCTCCTTGTAGCGGATAGCTGTAAAATCTGGAGAGGGAGGTCTCGGGAGTCGGCGGGAAGGTGTGGTGGGAGAGGTTGGAGTCTGTGATGCAGTTGGGCTCAGGGGTGCAGAGCTGTGCTGGGGTGTTTTTGCACCAGAGTTGCTGCTACTTTCGGACAGATCAATAGGGTTGGCACTGCCAGCGGTGCCGCTCCCTGGCGTACTCGAACCGCTCCCTGCTCCCGCTGCAGTGCCAGACTTACTCTGTCCACCTGTGCTGGAGCGCGTACCTTTGAGGTTGCGAAAGTGGTAGCGCCGGTCGCTGAACCACTTGCGGACTTCTCGTACTGTGAGCCCGGTCAGGGCGATGAGGCGGTCCACCTCCTCCTGGTCGGGGAACTGGCTGACCAGAAAACTGTCTTTCAGAGCGTTGAGCTGCTCTTGGGACTTCTTGCCCTTGTAAAAGCTGGGGTCCAGGAATGCGTTCACAGGTGTCCGAGAGCCAGGCGTGCTGCCATGAGGAGTGGGGGAAGAAGATTTTGAGGCAGGGGAAGACGCCTCCTCCATCTTGAAGGTTGGAGAGTCACCTCGGGTGGGGTCGGCATCGTCTGTGCTTGTGCTGGTTGTGTTATTTTTGTTGCTGCTACCGTTGGTATCTTTGCTCTTCTGTCCATCGCTGCCCGTTTTGCTGTTACTGGTGTTAGAGCTGTCTGGGGTGTTCTTGCTTTCTGTGGTTACTTTGTTGTCACTCTGCACAATGCTGGTGTTGTTGGCTTTGCTGATATCCGTGTTCTTAGCGTTTACGTGGCTGGTAACATTACTATTGCTTCTGTCTTTGCAGTCTGCATTAGAGCTGCTGTATTTACCATTGACACTGCTCCCCTTAGCATTATTATGATTACTGCTTCCTAGACTAAGGTTGATGACATTAGCTTGACTGCTTGTAATAATACTGCTAGTGCCCCCTCCCCCACTCCTACTACTATTACTGCTAATGATGTTGCTCCCAGTACTGCTGCTACCCACTGTCCCCACCACCATGCTAATGCCCTTGTCTGCCACCAGAGCTGCAGCAGGTCGAGCCTGCATCATGGGGCGCGCTGCTGCCTGGGGCTTAGGTGTGACGGCCAGGGCCACAGGAGCACTGCTAACCTGGATACCGTTTGCCATTACAGGCTGTGTGACAATTACCCCTCCTTGACTGACAAGAGAGCCCTGCAGGATGTGAGGGATCCCAGTAGCCCCCAGTGAGGCAGGCAAGACTGTGATTGTATGTTGGGCTGGGCTACGGTGACTGTGGGTCTGGTTCTGTGAGCTGGAGGGTGCAGTCTGGATGATGGTGTTGAACATCTTCCTCCTGGCCTCCTCGATCTCCTCCGGAGACCAGCTAATGCCTTGTTTAAGTCTCTGGGCTGTGAACCAGATCTTGATCTGCTCTTCGGGGAACTTTGTGACCACAGTCAGGTAGCAGAGCTCAGCCTTTGTGGGGTACGGGAACTTACTGAAGGAGGTCTTCAAGAAGGAAGAGGAGTCCATGGAGGCACTGTAGGTAGGGATGCTGCTCAAGGGAATCATCACCTGGGACGGAAAGATTAGAAAACAAGAGTGGGAGACTATTGCGTTATTTGATACCCAATTAACTATATAATACTAGGACACAAAAACTAAATCCAAATAATTACCTTGGGGAGATTTTTGGAGGAAGAATGCGAAGAAGTGGAGGAAATATTTGAGGAGGCTGTGATTGGTGCAGATTGATGAAGGCCTCTGTTTTGAACCACTGAGACCACCTATAGAAACAAATTTAAAAGAATCTAAGTCACGTCAAAACAGACCTTTCCAAAACAGCCTAGGAGAACTAAGAGAAAAGTAACCACCTACCTGTGTGATGGGAGTCTTCAACATTGGTAATGCTCCAGAGCCATTGACTATCTGGATTGCTGAAGGCAGAGTGACCTTTGTCGTTCCATTGTGGACAATTGTGGGAACATGGGTGACTGTCACTGCAGCAGTCTCTTTCCTCTCAGTCTCTCTGGAGACAGATATAGCGACTGGGTCTGAGGAAGACTCGTCAGAGACTGAATGAGACACCACTATCCGTTTAGGCTCTGATTTGCCCTTCAGCATCCTCATAATTGGGGTTTTGGTGATGGAAATCTCACTATCCTTCGCTGTCTCTGTCCCAGTCACCAGATTCTGCTCCACCACTACTCTCCTGTCCCTCTTCCTCAGCTGCAGAGTCGTGTTCAATGTGCTCGGGTGAACCCTGGCATTATGCAGGGCCAGCCCCTCAAACTTGGGCGCTGAAACCCCACAGCTCACGCAAAAGAAGCTGGGGTCTGCACGGAAGTCCGGGTGCCCGGAGTACACATGATCCAAGAACAAATTAAGGTCATGGGTTTCAAAGTTACAAGGCTTACAGGTATAAGTGCCAGCACCATCTTTGGCAGCGTCCCCTGCCTCTGGTTTGGAAGATTCTCCTGGGTCGAAGGGGCTATGTCTGCCCCCTCCAGAAATCCTGGATTGACGGAGCAGAACAGGAGAGTCCTGTTCAACCTCCTCTGCTGGGCGTATGATCTTGCTGGGGATCATACAAGGAGTAGTAGACTTCCTTTTGCTGGCCATGATGTGACCACAGGGTGGGGAGGGCTGGTCAAATGGCTGAGAATGGGGTGTGAGTGAGAGTGTGGCTCGTTTCTGGTTGACTATAGACCAGGCATGGGGGAAGGAGGACAGCGGGACGTGTCCATAGGTCCACTTGTGGTTTTCACTGCAATTTTGAGGGAAAACCTGGAAATCAGAGAAGGAAGCAAGTTTTAGTTCAGTCACAATCACATACAATACCAATTGTACACCTGTAATCTGTTGGATAGGTTTGGTTAGTGGCGTAAACTGTTACATTTCAAGTACAAATGAGGGAGGAGATGGGAGAGGAAGAACAGATTGAGAGGGAAAGAAATAAGACGGGATATCTTACGCTACTCAGTACAAGCCAGTTTCCTCAGCGGGACGATAATCACGCATGGCTGGATGTTCCCAGGTGAAATATAAACAGCATAGGTAAGGTCTTGTGAAAAGATTCAGCTGACGCCTTTAAAATCAGGGGTTGCTTGCAAATCTTTGATCAAAAAAAAAAAAGAAGAATCCCCCTACATGAAACTCAAGGCTATCTCTTTTATGAGGGCATTCAAACAAGCTCAGTCTGCTTCTTCACTAAAGGCTTTTTGGGAGAGCTCCTGTCCTACCCCCTTCTTTCCCCTCCCCCACACAACTCTGTCTCACTTCCCCTCTTTTAGACACACCCCCACAGAGAGAGCACATTCTGTATTTTTTTTTTTTTTTTT